GTAGAAAAAAATTATTTACAGCAATTGACAATTTTGTTCAATACATTAATTATCCCATAACATTTGATATCGAAACATTAAAGTAATTCCATTAATAGATCGAAAACATAGTATAAAGGGTTTTTCCCTGGGAATCACCTGATATCCTGTTATATAGTATTTTTATCTCAAAATGAAACCTTACAAACAGTTCGCGTTCCCTCATTGATATTACAAGTTTCATATTTTATTAAGCATTTCACTTAATAGTCAAAATTTCGTCAAATTTCAAAACACTTAAAATATAAGATTCAATTATCTTTCTCTTTCATTTTGTAACAAACCGTAAGAAAATAAAAAATTTCTGACGTCTTTTTTTATGAATACGCACTGTTTCATCGTACAACGCTAATGATATTTTAATGTTGCACTTTAGCTAAACCAATAAATCAAATATTGGAGAAAAGGAAGAAAAAAATTCTTGATTTGATGTCGAAAAAAGAAACGGAAACAATTTCTACACAGACAAGTATAGCTGGAATATCTGAAGTTAAGAAAATGAAGAAATCCAAAGAAGTTCTATGTTCCGTTTGTAGAAGGCAATCACTGTGCCAATGGTGCTTAAATGATCAGGAAACTGAAACCGGCCCACAAGAAGAAATGAAAATACTTCGCACGGAAGATATACTACTGGCATATAAACCCTGTTACATTGTAACCAAAGTTTCAGAAAAAGATAAAAATCTTGAAAAACCTTGTGCAGAAATAAAAGTTAAATCTCCTTCAAGACCTCCAGTTTGTTCTGAAGTAGATTCATGTCGAGCATCTAGTAATACACTCCATATACTTTTGCATGCTGAAAGGAACATTGAGCCTGAAGGTGTCTTTCTAATAAAAAAATATTACGTATTTTTGAAATATACTTATACTTATATACGTATTTTTCTTTTTAGAATCCTTTAACGAATGGTCTTATGTTACCGATGATATATTGATGAAACCATGTTCGATAAGAGGTAAAACACTAATTTTTATTTTTAAATTAAATATTAGATAAACAATTATATAGAAATGTGACATTGAAGCTTTTAAGCTTAAAAATATTAAAATTATAAATTTATTCTT